AAGTGGTATGATAGGAAATCAAACCTCCACATGCTTGCTGACTATTGCTGGACCCTGAAATGCGATCCACAAAAAAATGTTTAATTTAGGAGTAGTTATGTCTTCACATCAAATTTCGAAGATATGCGATATACGGTTCTTAAGTTATAGTTGGTTAAAATTTGACGCCTGCGGGATGTTTTTACTTTGCATCATGTAATGTACATACATTTGTTTTTGCTTTTAATTTTGCTTTTCAAATGTAGCCCCCTTTGGCACACCGAGGCTGGAATCGTACTTTAACGGCTATGAATATGCGTCCACTTTGCCCACAGCCCTCGAATACAATTTATGATGAGAAAGTTGATGGGACCTTACCTCGTGCAGCATTAATGGATGAAGATTGCTTATATTTGAATATTTGGGTATCTGAGGTATGTATATACATACATATGTTGCAATTCTGAAGAGCTCATTTCTGTATCATATTGCACTATCATTCACGAGGACGTTGGTGTTGGAAGAAGATTTTCAAAAATGATTTGAATTAAGTGTAGAAAAAACTCGTTTTTTGGGGGTAGTTGCTTTGCTTCTTGAACGTAGTGTTACCATTTATGATTTGTTTTTTTTTTGTTGTTTTAAGCTCACAACTGTGTAGACTTTTTTTATTTTTTTGGTTCGTGTTGTTACTTGCACATAATTTTACTCAGCCATCACTTTTCGCCATTCAATCGCACAGATGTGTCGCATTTTGTGGCTCCTCTTCCTCTTGGCAATATTGAAAAGGCCGTAGCACAGTTATTGAATAACATTTTGTATATTTTTGTTTGAAGGCTGTAAATACTGGCCAGAAACCCGTGCTGGTGCTTATCACTGGAGAGAATATGGTTTACGATTGGTCTCAAAATCGAGTGTCTGGTGTAGATTTTGCTCTAGAGAATGTCGTTGTGGTCTCTATGCAGTACCGCAGCAATATATTCGGTTGGATCGCTTTGGATAATGGAGTGTTAGCGGGAAATTTGGGCCTGCAAGATCAACAGTTGGCTCTCCATTGGATACAACACAACATACAGCATTTCGGAGGGGATCCGAAGCGAATAACATTGCTGGGCCACGGCACAAGTGGTGCTCCATGTGCCTTGGCACACGCTCTTGCAAAAACTGCGGATGAACCGAAACTTGTATCTAAGCTAATACTTATGTCCAGTGGTGATTTTATGACGTCATTGAATACCCCATCCAGGGTTGTGGAAGCTTCGAATGTGTTGGTGAGCAAGCTAGGCTGCCAGTTCGAAAGACCAAGTGCTCAACTTGCACGTTGTCTGAAATTAAAAAGCGTCAGTGATCTTCTGAATGCCTTTGAGAGTGTATACGATCATGGCAATGGCACTCTCCACATCGGCCCTATATTGCCGGCAGATGTCGATGATTTTTTAAGAAATGTCAGCGTATCATCTGCTCTTCCCCCCATACTGTGCGGCATCACATCTAATGAGGGCGCCTTTCTACAACAACACTGGCTAAATTTGGCGCGCGAGGGCTATCAGGCGATTCGTGATTATGTGAATTTCACTCTGATTCCAAGTGTCTTGCAAAGATTTCACATGGAGGTGAGAAATAAAGTGAAGTACGTCCTGAATTGGTTCTATTTTAGTGGGGACGCTGGTAGTAGTGTTAAAAGCCTCTTGTATTCAATGCAACGACTTATATCTGAATATTTTTTCGAGCTGCCTTTCTATCGAACACTCAATGTTTTAGCCTCGAGAAATTCTAGTGATGTTCCGAAAGTATACGCATACGTATTCGACGCCTCGAACTCAATGGACATACGTGGAAAGGTGAACTGGTTCGGTGGTGCGTCCCACACTTCGGATTTACTTTTGCTTCTTGGACCAAGCATGTTCCAGCAAATATCCAGAAGGCGCCTGACCACGGCAGAAGATCGTATTTCTCGAAAATTCCGAAAAGCTCTGATCAATTTCATAAAGAGTGACATGGCCAAATCTACGTCATCTTATGAGCCAAACGATTGGCTGCCATACACAAATGAGCACCAATTCGTTAAATACTTTGGCGAGACAGAAAAATTGGAAACGAGAAGAAGTTATTTTTTGGATTTTGCTGGAAATGTAGCTGAAATTGAAAAAATGCTACAAAATGGGAAGGAAATTCCCGAGAATGGTTTGTCGAGGACGAATAGGAATGATAGAAGAGGCATTGATAATGGCCAATCGAAGTTATTTCTAAAGAATCAGACGGATTTTGGATATGCTGCGCATTTGAAGCGCGTTGCCAGCTTTTGGCAAATTTTTATTCCGAATGTACCAGTATACGAAGATCAGAGTGGTTATGATAACAATAATGTCCCATTAGGCCAGCGCAAGCAGTTGAAGGAGGCTACAGCCGATGCAGTGCGCTACCGAAAGGGCTTCTTTGTTCTATTAAGTCTCATTGCAGCACTTTTGAGCGTTTTAGCGCTCTGCGTGTATATCCTTCATCGCGATCATATTCGTGAACGATCGCACACTTCAGTTTTTCGCTTATGACGACGATGGATTGAGAAACCCAACTGGTTTCGAAAAACCCTTACGTCGATTATGGACAAACACAACAACAAAAGTCAAAAATCAGATAATTTTTCTTTCAGTGAGAGAGCACGACGCGAGCCGACAGGAAATAAAACTTCCGACGAGATGTTGGATGAGCATGAAAAACAAGAAGCATTAAGAAATAAACGAGACGAGAAGCAATCAAAATATACTTTAAAACATTGGCAATACGAACTGACCTGCCGTGAATTTTAATGTTTGTGAACTGGAGAGGAACTAAATTTAAGTACATGTTTTTGAATTTTAATTTAAGGCAGTATATTTTTTCTTGTAAGTACATTACATACATACTACATGTGCATATCGCACACCTACATATATCTAAACAGCAATCAACTAAAAAAACTGTAGGAAGATTTTTCGCATAAATCAATTTACATATAGGACTTACCTCCAATTAATGTAAATATTTGTTTCTTCCTGATTATATACCCTAACTAAATAACCACTGTTATACCGGTTTTTGCGTTGAATCTGTACGATGCACAAACAGTTATTTTTGAGTTAGCCCACTTTAGATCCAGGTGTGCAATATGTATTTATATGTATGCAAGTAGTTACATATGTATATATATGTGTCTGTTATTAGTCATACTTACTCATATAATAAAAGCAATTTTAAATTAAAATCTGCATAGTTTCAATAAAAAATTTCCTAGGGGTTTGATTTATATATGTACATATCGAGCCAGTTCGAAAACATCCTATCTCAGAATTGAAGGCTCTATTTCAGAATTCGGTTCAAAGACGCCCTATCTCAGCCGCCGATTCAAAAAAGGCCTATCCAATTATTTTCTNAGTATGTACATATCGAGCCAGTTCGAAAACATCCTATCTCAGAATTGAAGGCTCTATTTCAGAATTCGGTTCAAAAACGCCCTATCTCAGCCGCCGATTCAAAAAAGGCCTATCCAATTATTTTCTATATATAGTTTCAGTTAAGATAGGACATTTTTGAACCAAATTTTGAGATATGGAAAATTCTGCCGAGTTAGGTCGAACTTGCACTCAGCCAGCGATGTGCACAAAGTTATTTTTGTGATGCTTGTCTTGAGTCGAGATTTCAATTCATATCGAACTAACGCATCATTATATTAAAAAGGTTAAATTAGCGGTGACATAGCCATAACCATATAAAACAGCTGTTCCAACCAACCTTATGGCCAACACTGTATTCGATTACTGGTGCCACACCGTAACGCCAAAGCATAAACATCAATTGAATTTTGGTTTTCCACCATAACCATAATTAGCTAATATCTAAAGCGCTCGTAAGAACGTGATGCCAGACGCAAAGAAAAAATACTGTTCATTTAGCTATGGAAATAGCAAAAAATTTGGCTCAATAGAACTTCTCATGCTGATTTCAACTGTGCCAAAATTATTTGGCGCAAAAATATAAAGAAGATATGAACAGTTGCATTAAACATTTTTGATTTTTTAAATATTAGTATGTTATGAATGAACACAGAAGTTCTGCGCAAAAATTCTACGATGTTACCCATTTACATCGTCTTGTTTCGCGTCTGGCAACACCGACATCTTGACTATGTAAAATCAGCTGTTTATGATTATGAAGATCGTTAATGTGATTACCGTTATGGCAATGGTTATGGCTATGGCGTTATGGTATGTCGCCACTAATTTAACCTTAAGGCTTTTATATTATTCCAACCGATAAATGTATTTCATTAAGTACGCTCGAAATGTTTAGCGAACTTTTTATTGTTTGCTTGTATGGTGGTACGTACGGTCTAATGTACATACAAGAACGTGCTAAGGCTGAGGACGCTATTTTTATCCACTCTTGCAGGTGAAAGCAATTAAAAATTACCTGACGCGGAGCGGCTCGCTAACCTCCCTTCGTTGTTAAGAATGAAAAGGCATTATTCATTCATTATGCTTTCTAAATTGTTTAATATATTTATATGTATGTATGTACATATACTTGCATTTACTTAATAATGTACACTCTCCTTTTGTTTGCTTTAGCAACATTTAGTAGTAACCTTTTTTGTAAGTATTTTTTATTAAATAGATACCGATGGGCCTATACATCGTATACATATATATTTTATATACATATGTATGTATACATAATCAAATGAAAAAAGGCACTTCCATATGGAAAATCGTACACAACTTAACAATGATTTCTGTGTATGTATGTATGTATGTATGTTTACATAGAGTCATTTAACTTGTGGGTAGCGTAGCCTCATTCAATGCTGTACTTACGAGACTATAATTGGCTAAGTTCATTAATTTAAAAAATTCTCTAAAATTTGCTAAAATAAAGTGCATTTGATGATTACAAACAAACATTATTCTTATGTATGTATGTATGTATGTATGTATATCGTACCGATGTGCTGCTGCCGACTTGCGAGTAGTTAGTTGTTCGCTTGAAATTTAGTGTCTGCGCATGTGCAGCGACAGGTGGTCGGAGCGGCTGAAGGAGCGCGTGCAGAGTTGGCAGCGAAACGGCTTGACGCCGGTGTGTTTTCGATAGTGACGCGTTAATTCGTCTGATCTTGCAAATCGCCAAATACATCCTTCCCAGTTACACACGTATGGTTTCTCACCTAATGGATGAAGAAGGCTTATAAACATATGTACAGTCATAATTACATATGTATATTGACATTATGTATTTGGGCAAGCTTATTACCTGTGTGAGTGCGTTTGTGCGCCTTCAGATGAGAACTCTTTGTGTACACTTTATCACAACCCTCAGTGTCACATTTGTGCACTTTTCGATTTTTAGAGAGATCACTAAAGCCAATGTTGTTAATCATCCCGCCTGAGTCATCAGATCGTCCGAACATGCCGCCGCTCCCCCGTAAGACCATACTGCTGAAAGCGTTCTTACGACTATCGGCATTCGATGGCTCTTGGAAGGTGGGATTCATAGTCGATTGATGCAAACTGTTAGGTTGAGATGCTGAAGACATTATCTTCCATGGCAATATCGTGTTGGAACTAGCAGGTCCTTGAGAAATTTTGCTGTACGTAGACGTCAGCATCGAAGTAACATTTGACGGCGCTGACGGCAGTACCACATCATTAGAGCCCCAAACTCTGGAGCTAAATGATGAAGATCTTCGGTCCGTTGTATACTTATAGGGATTTTTGAAAAGGCTTAGCAAACTAAATTTTCGATCGTAGTCGTGCAAAAATGTTCTCTGTGCTGCAGCGGCGGCAGCAGCGGCTGTTAGATGATTGCAAAATGGTGTTTCTGCAGTGGTCGATAGGGCGGGCGATGTGGAGGAGGGTGGAGGAACTACGCTTGCAGTGTTTCGTTGATGATGTTGAAGAGGCGCTTGATTAAAGCTTTGGTTGACATGCGCGCTACTGATGCTGTGGCTGTTGTTATTTGACACATTACTCCTTTTACTGTTAACCTCTTCCTTCCCGCGCCGGCAAGGTAAAAGAAAAGGTGAAGTTGCTAAGAATGGATTTATAGGCAGTTTCGAAACCGTTGATGAGGAGAATGGTGATGAATACTGTCGATTTGATTGCAACTGAGTCGATGTGGTGAATGAGGAGGAGGAACTTGATGCAGAGGATGTAAAGCGATCCCGATTGTAATTGTTATTGTTGTTGTAGCCGTTGCCACTTTTAGCGCTTGAATATGTGCTGTAAATATTATCTCTGCCGTTATTGTGCCTGCTTCCAAATAACTTGCAGTTTGGTGATTGAGATCCTGAAAAGTCAAAGAAAAAAATCGAAGAATAAGAATATGTTTTACTCTTCGGTCAAAATATGTGCAAATGCAAAATAGCTTTTGATTCGTCAATCAACTAGCGATTGGCGAAAAGAATAGTAACTATCTTAAAACTCCTTAATTATTTAGCAGTCCCAAACCATTTTGTTGACACTTACTAAAGAATAAAACTATACTGTACAGATACTAAAACGTAAAAAATAATTTTTCTTCGAATCATAGAATTAGTCCATAGAAATTTTAATTTACAAATTTTTACATTTGCTATACACCAGAGCTTCTTAAAGTGTGTTCCGCGGAACCCAAAGGCTCCGAGATTAATCTTGGTATGAATAAGTATACATATGTACTTATGTACCCGTAGTTGGTATGATTGCCGTACTGAGTGCCATACCTGCATAAGAGCGTTGAGCTTGCGCTTGCTAGCTTGTTTTTTTTTTCTAACCGGTATGTGTTGTTGGCCGCTGTAGCCAAAGGGTTGTACACTTCTACTTTCTACAAGGAGCGCGATGAATTGTCAAATGAAATGTGAAGTGTCATAACTAGGCACTTGGTAAATCACCTGTAGTCTTAGTCAGATTATTTTTCGGATGGTAGTAGTAATATCGCTTTGGTACAAAATCCATTCTTCACATTAAAGGGTGAACACACCAAAACTGCGACACTTTGGAAAGCTTATAACTTACCCACAACGAATTCAATATTTTGAAATTCAAACACCATAAATTGACCATGACCTTAGTTGAACGGAGAAGAAATTTCATTTGAATTTGATTCCTAGTTGAGTTAAAAATGGCAACCGAGCTAGAAACGAGACAAACCATTTTGTACGAGTTTATAAATGATCCGGCCTTAAGTACACGTAAAATTGCTAAAAAATTAAAGAGTGCACTATTCGACAGCTTGCAGGGTTTTAATCGGTACAAATAAGGCCTGACAGTTACGAGAAAACCAGGGAGCGGGGGTTAGCATGGTCAAAGTGATAAAAACAGTGCTCGGAAGGTCCTCAGTGCGTTTTCACGAGATCCGAAGATTTTGTCGCGTTATGTTGCAAAATCCGTACGGAGATCGCAGTTTTTCGTACAAAAGGTAAAGCGGAATGCTTCATTGAGATGTTCTACAGCTCAAACAGCGCCAGGCCGAGGCGCAAAGTAGAATGTTACAGCGAAATCCCGCATTCGGAAGTTGTATGAATTCTAAATTAAAAAATACAACTGCATTGTTATGGACTGCGAAACCTACTGCTATAAAAATTCAAAATATATTGCAGGTGAAGATATTTATACTGCTGCAAGTCGTCAAGATGCCCCTGAAAGTTGTAAGCTGAAAATGAAGTCCAAATTTCCAAAAACCACATGGTTTGGCAAGCTATTTGTTCCTGTGGCCGTAAGAGCAGCCCTTTTTTCCCATCCGGGACAATGAATGATCAAGTTTATCGGGATGAGTGCCTCAAAAGGCGTCTTCTGTCGTTTATCAACAGATAAGGAGTAGGACATCGTTCTAGGCGGACACGGCAACCTGCCACTATGCCAAGGACACATTGCCGTGGTATAATGCAAATAACATAAATTTTGTACCTCACGACTGCAATCCACCCAATAGCCCAGAGCCATGTCCTATTGGGGAATATTGGTCAATTGTCAAAGGAATCTTGAAGAAAACAGGTGAAAGAGTGAAAATTATTGAAGAGTGCAAAACAAAGTAGTTGTGCGCATCGCGTAATGTCGATGATGCAGTCGTGCAGAACATGATGGCGCGTGTGCGATGAAAATACCGATCACTTACATATGGAGGAAATAATAACTAATATTTTAACATTTTAATAACATCTAAACTTCCAAGTTATATAATACAAAAAAAAATAATTTCAAAGCCTTCTAATTTGTTTCTGGTAGTAATTTCTAAGTGTCGCAGTTTTGGTGTGTTCACCCTTTAAAATTTAAAGTATAAAAAGTAAAGTAAAGTTTTTATTCATTTCGTCTCTATTCGATACCAGTTGTTTCGCAATGTGGTTGCAGGCTTTTTGTAGACAAATGTATTTCTTCAAGTTCAGCCGAGCCACCTTTCTTTGCGAGAAAATTTGTCGCTTTTGTTCTAGTATCTCAAGTTGAAATTTACAGTTTTCCTTAAATTTTGACGAATTCGCCGATAATTCTGTTTTTGTCGTGAAATCTTTTGTAAATTTCTCCAGCTTTATTTTGCGCGAATAGACACCAGAAAGGTTCTGATAATATGAATTTTTTATTTTCACAGGAACATTGTTCTGGATGCCAGCTAAAATTAGCCAGCACCCAGGAATTAGGCCAATTTTATTTTTGTATTTTTTATTGCGCGTATTTTTATTAAATCTCCTGTACAATCTGTTTCAACAGCTTTTAAACATTCGCACCAACATGGAATTGATTTCACTAATTTTACCAATTCGAAATGATTAAGAATCATTCGCAATGCTAAAAAAGAGTTGATCGTTGAAATCAATATTTTACGTGACTGCTCGCAATTTAAACAAAAAAAAATTGTATTTATAAAGTCATTGTGAAGATTCGTCCGAAAAAATCACGTCGCAACCAACTTAAAGGGTGTACAATAATGGTGCGTATGTAAATGTAGCAAAAACCGGTGTGTGGCAAGTCGGCTGTAACTGTGATTGGCATCACAACTCCTTAGGCGATACGAGTACAAGTTAATAGTATTTAAATTGCAAAGTTTTTCTGCATTGACAATTTGGTCAAGAAATCTTTTGGAAAAATATCCGGCGTTCAGGGTTGGCCTATAGACACTTGTTTGTGTTAATCTTGAAGTAGCTAGAGTTTTTTCCAAGGTACTCAGATTGATGCATCCCGAAAATCAGAGATTTTACGCCAAGGACCTACTCTTCATGCGCAGTACCCGAATACGGCGACCCGCCTGCACATTTGTGTGCCTCGCGCGCTTATTTGTGTTGAAACTAAGAGTAGGCTATAAATTTTCACAAATGCGCAATTGCTACTCCATTTTTTAACATACCCAAGGCAGGTAGGATTGCGTTAATAAAATTGATGGTGGCTAATTGGACTGCACACAACATACAATTTATAAATATACATATATATATATATATGTGCCTACTCGTATGTAGATATTTACATGAGTGTGAAGGTGTAATTATTAGACAAATCATGCATACATACAGATGTAATTCTCTGCAAAGATACGAAAATCCCAAAATTAGTTTATCCTTCTTGACATCACTAGGATGATGCACAGATGCGCGCATGCGCACATCTTTTCGCTAATGCGAATGCAATCATGGTTTTAGAGAAAATCTCTGTGCTATTGCGTATAGCGGTAGCAAGCGGCAAGCAGCAAGAGGTAAAAATATTTGGAACTGATGGCAGGCAGTAAACAGGCGGTTAGTTGACTGGTACCATAAAAAGTGAATGTTGCCCCCGAGTAGCTCGCTGTTGTTGTTTTGCTCGATTAAAACATGGTGAAGCGCAGTAACGACATTAACCAAATAGTAAAGACCAAAAAAAAAAAACAAAAAAAGCAGAAACAAACAAATCGACATGGAAGCACGAAAAAAGAAGTACAAATAAAAATGTGAAATACAAAAACGCGTCTTCAAGTGGCACACTCATAAAACCCATAAACTGCTCATTTGACTTGGCGTGTGAAATGGTTAGCAGCAGCACAAAGTTAGCAGGTGGGCAGGGTGAACCGCGAAGTAGACAGGCAGGCAAGCATTCGGTCGTATGTAAGTGGAGAGTGGCAAACGGCGACGTCGAACAAGCTTCGAAGTAGTCAGGAAATGAAGCAACGCGCCACAAATATGCAATGCGCAAGTGAATGCATGCCGCAAGTGGCAAGTGTGGCAAATGTTCGGCGCGTATCTGCGTTTGTGCTTCGACGCGACGCCTCAATGCCTCGACCGCCTTTCAACTGTGCTCAACAATAATTATGATGAACTGAGTAAGTGCCCGTGGATGCGACGTACATAGATCGGCTGCATATTGATGCACAAGTGCGACAATGATGACCAAAACCGAAGAGACCAAAGGCCGGAACGAGTGCGGTGTTGCGGCGAAACACCGACTGTGAAGCAGCGTTCGAATGTGCTGACATACAAGCATATGGTCGAGTACGTATGTGCATATGCACGAGTGGATTTTAATACAGGGTGATGTAATTGGAATCATATTTGAACATTGGTATGGTAGTTACCTGTGCAAAAATAAACGAAAAGCAAAGAAAATCGGAACCGAAAATTGGCAGACTAAATTAGTCAAGTGAAAAATAATACGGACACGATGTTTTGACCAGTTTGGACTATTTTTCCTGTGCTTGTTTCATGTTTATTATTTTTTATAAAAATCCAGTTCCAGTATCACGCAAACACCATGTAAGTCTAAATTTCAGACTTTGTAGAATAATTCACCAACAAATTCTAGCATAATAAAGTGCAGTATCATGTGGTGAAGAATTCCCATTGATTTTTGATATATTTTTTTTTGCTGACGGTGCCACGGTGGAAGAAAATAATAACACCGTCTGCAAAAGAAATGTGCTGGCTTGATAGTATTGTTGCTGATGCGTCGGTGAAAATATCCCTACGGCACCTACGGGTGGAAAACGAAAGCAAAAGCGCCAACGTACATAATGAAAGGACCAAGTGCAGAAAGACCTGTCTGCAGTCGGGATGAAAAACGGGCGATTCTTTGCATAAGTGAGAGGCAAATGGCGGAGTTTTTTGGTCTGCATCCAAAGGTTGTAGTGCCAAATAAGAGGAAGAAACTGTAAAGGGCACAGGATAAAACGGAATGCCCTAATGAACGAGAACTTAAAATGTCCAAGCTGGACAAAAAGTTTTATTTTTTCGATCATATTTGATCGATATTTTAACTGCCGGTTTCACCAGCAATTTAGATAAGTGAAAAATGATTTTGTTGCTTCTGTCCGTGCTCATATTAAATTAAATTAAAAAAATGTTAACTTAAATTGCTTTC